TGTACACGAACATTCCGATCGATTTAATATTAAAAAGCATTGAACGTAGGTGGAACTTGATTGAAAACAAGACTTCGATTCCTTTACATGAGTTTATTAAAGCAATTATGATTATTATTAACTATATATATTTTTTAAATTCGACAAAAAAATATTTAGACAGATTTTTGGCATGCCAATGGGCTCTCCATTGTCCCCTATATTATATTGTTCTACATAGAATATTGTTCTACAAGACTTAGAATAAGAAATTATTGCTAATAATATTATCTCATCTTTTTATTTCCGTTGATGACATTGTTAGCGGTGCATAAAGACAAAATGGAGGGGATTCTGGAATTGTTTAATTCATATCATGAAAGGCTTAGATTCACTGTTGACTTTGGTGATGAAAATGGCATAAATTTTTTAGACGTAAAACTAATGAGACAAGATGGAAGAATCATCTTCGATATTTATAAAAAACCTACTAATTCAGGGAGATATTTAAATTATTTTTCGAATCATCCGTTAGTACATAAAAGAGGTGTAGTCATCGGGCAATTAGATAGAATTTTCCTTTTATCCCATCCAAAATTTCAGGAAAAAAACGTCTCTGATTTAATTCATACTCTGTTAATGAATGGTTATCCTCTTAAATTCATCTTTTCAACAATAAAAAATAGAATACAAATTTTAGAAAGTAGAACTAATTTAGATAAAAATCGTGAGGCCAATAATAACGAAAGCGACTCTAATTCTAATTCAAAGAAAAAGTTTTTCATAATACCATATTTAAGCAAAGTATCTGAAAAAATTTAAAAAACTCACATATTTATGGCTTTAATATCGCTTATAAACCCATAAATAAAATGAATAGATTTATAAAAACGGGAAAAGATCTTTTGCGTAAAGAGGACCATCGTGGAGTAGTCTATAAAATAAATTGTTTAAATATTGTGAGTCTTCTTATGTTGGCCAAACAAAAAGGAAATTAAAAACTCGAATAAAAGAACATAGGGCTGACGTAAGAAGATTCACCTCTGAAAGTCAGTGGTTTCACGTCACCAGTTGAATGAGATGCATGAATTGGATTGGGATAACATAAGAATTTTAGACATAGAACAATCATTAATGAAAAGAAGAATTTTTGAAATGATATACATTAAAGGCCAAATAAGTGGTATCAATAAGCAAAGTGACACTGAAGGTTTGCCTGATGTTTATCTGCCTCTTCTTAAGAAAAATCTCTCTCACACTTAATAAATAATTCTAGAACTTTTTAAACTTTCTAAATTTTTGACTTATACATATATATAAATAGTGATAACATATATGATATGACAAATAATAACATATATGATATGACAAATAATAATTGACACACAATATCACGACAAATTTCCATCTGTGTAAAGGATGTACTTGAGATTCATCATTTTTTTTGCTGTAAAACAGGTAATGATTCTATTCTCATACATTTCGATTAAAGATATTAATGATATTAAAAGATATTAATGATAGGTTAATTTGTTAAATTAGAATCTGGAAATTCTTATTCTACATATTTCGTAATATGATAATTGGCGTTGCAACATTGTTGTACGATGCACCTTCACAAGATGAAAGAATACGTTTATACAGGGTTGGCCATATTCGACGGAAAGATGTTTTTTTTTTTCAATCATGGGAAAGAGATGTTAGATCGAGTAACGACGTTTCCCATGATTGAAAACATCTTTCCGTCGAATATGGCCAACCCTGTATATAATTACGAGAGAATGATAGGTTAATTTGTTAAATTAGAATCTGGAAATTCTTATTC